CCAAATAGAAAAGTAGCGACTGTCGTTACATGACAAGATCAGAAAAGACTACCTCCAAGTGATTGTGAAAACCACGACGACTTGTCATTAAGAGGTATGACCTCCCCAAAGAGTGATTAGGATACTCACTACTAGATAAATCACGAGGTATGACCTCTAGACATGTTGACTACGGTCATAATCAAGTACTACTTGGTAGAGAGAGAGGTAAAGTCTATGAAAACCTCCAAACAATAAGTGGAACCTCACCATGAGCTTGATCCATGCAAATTCTACCTCCCTAAACCTCACCAACTATAGTCGGGAACCTCATCAATGTAAACAAGGCGAAAACATCCATGAGATGAACTTGCAACTTGTCAAGTATAAAATACTTTAGCTCGCCAAAAGTTGTTCTATCACAAGAAACTGCGTGTTTATTGACTCTAGCTAGCATGAAAAATGCTCGATAGCAGCCAATGTACCACTACCTGAAGAAATAAATACTTCCTCTCGTAGACTTGGTCAATTTGAAGCAACACATCTTTTCCAACGTGACATGTTATTCACATGTACATCGTCATAGACCTCTAAATGTCATAAAATGGACGTAATACTTGTTTCTCCATGAACTTGAACATCATTAAATCAAAACAGATTGAGAGTCTACATGTCTCTACACGTAAAATCATATGTATACGTACATAACACGAAAAACGCAACTTACAAGTCTAGACGATACGTCGCCAGACGAAGTCCACCACACCAAACTCTAAGTTAACTACTCTTCAAGTTCTAAATAAGAAATTAAAGAGTGGGGGGGCAAACTGTGGAGGAAAATAAATTCACTACTTGGTATGCTTTGGTTAGTGCTGGTTAGAACATTAGACTTGACTCTACACTATTTTGGCCAGGTTTAATAAGCTGATGACATGCTACTACATGATAATGCGTCGTCTATGTCAGGTAAAACAAGGTAATGACTTAACATAACCAAGTCAGATATTGCCAATACGTCATCTATGTCAGGTAAAGCGAGGTCGTAACTTACATTTATCTGGCAATACATCATCTACGTCAGGTAAAGCGAGGTCATGGCTTGCCTTTACCTGACGATACGTCATCTACCACATGCAGAATGAGGTCATAACTTACTTATACCTGACAATACATCGTCTACGTTAGGTAAACCAAAGTAATAACTTACTTATACCTGACGAGAGATTGTCTACGCAAGATAAATTCATGTAATAACCTGCTAATACCTGGCAATACGTCATGTATGTCATGTAAAATGAAGAAATGACTTGTCATTAACGAGTAAGGCATCATTACCACGTTGTCATCAAGTCGATAACGTCGTTACGACGTCGTTATAAGGTTTGTCATTATCTAGACCTCATAATATGATTCAAGTATATCAAGAATCACGATTATTAAGGAGATACGCTTGCACGTCAAGTCGAATCCTAATCCAAAACGGATTTGAGGAAGTCCTATATATAGGGGGACGTCGAGTAGAGAAGAGGATCATCAGAAAAACGCAGAGAAAACCCTAAGAGCTATATCTTTACAGCATCCCTGAGATAGCAACCGGGGATCTAGTCTTGTTTTCTGCATCCAACGAAGTTCTTTATAACGCTTTAGGTCTAAGACGTTGTAATACTATTCGGCTACAAGTCTACTTCGTTGATTAATAAAACTATACCTCTCTTTAGCCATTCCGTATATCTGTGTACTTGTGAAGCTGGTTAAATTTTGCCGAAACAATTATGATGACAAGAATTGAAAACCACCTGCTAAACTAACTTAGATATACAGACAAAACAAATATTTAAATTGTCATAAGCATTTCATAAGAAAATCCACATAGATGAAAAAAATGCTCACTTGTCAGACGCTGCTGAGGCTGAACAAAAGAAGGTTCCACCTTAAATCCACTTTTACTCATATTTGCACCAATCAACCATAACCTTTTAACAATAGCAAACAAAATTTCTTAAGAAGAAGGAGAAAATAAAGCAAAGGCAAAAGGAAGTAAAAAGTATAGACTAAGAAGATTCATAGGAAACAAACACTATAACCTTTTCATATAGGCATATACACAACATTTTTATAAGCAGCTGCTGAAATTCAGAGAGCAATCGTGTTCATCAAACTTTGAGCATGCCTAATGACGTATCAAAGAATAGATCACGAGAAGTAGAGATTTTACCAAGACAAATCGATCGATGAAGTCCTGGATATTCTTCAACGATCTCAAGGCTCGAGCAGGATCTTTCCCGTTCTCTTAGCCACTACTAATTCCAATTACACCGCCATGCATGGAAATTTGATGATTGATAAGTTCACTGGATCAGAAATTGGAGAGGTCAACATATAGGCATCAAAGCGCTCGTTAAGTTTATCTTTGTCGTCAGAACTCAAAATCAGTGAGAATGGGAGATTGTTTAGAAATTCAAAGTGACATATATAAATCGATTTGATTAACAAGAAGAGAATATGAAGAGGTGTGAAGAAAAAATTGAAATTTACGCGATAAAGAGGAAGAAGAATGGTAGT